GAAACTGGGGGAAGGGTATACAGGACCTCTGTATTATTTCTTACAACTGCATGTAAATTTACAATATTCTTTAAATGTTTAGTATTTTTAAAAAGAGATCTAATTGGTCACTTTTAGAGAGTAGTAATGTAATGAGGGAACCACCTCATTATTTTAAAAGCTAGTAAGGAATCAAGCATTTATCCCATCTTTCCTGTATGAACTGTACCAACAGTTAAGAAAATAGAAGATGAGGGAACCAACTCTTTATAAAGGTACCTTAATTAATTAATTTTTAAAAAACCTATTAGATTAGCAACAATTTCCATCTCCCAATGAATTAACGGATCTAGGCACTGAGCATTAACAGCAGGTAACAGCACAAAAAGAGGAAGAAGCAGACATTAATTAATTGCCTCCTGGTGAAAGAACACGTCACTATCTGAGGTCTCGCTGTAGGTTCCCAGCATGAGTCTGATCGGGTCCGTGGATCCAGCTACCAATTTGCAGGACAACTCACAGGACAGAGAGAACAGGGGAGCTGCACCATGATAGAGCAAGCAGCAAAATTCAGACTGTGGGAAAGTCTACAGGTTAAACTCCCTGGACTCTTCTACAGACAACCTGTTAGGGGGAAAAATAGGGGGCAGGGGCCAGGGTTAGGGAGGAGCGGGGTAATAGAAGGGAAACCTGTAAATTCAATACTCTTTTGAGTCTTAAAAGACTCAAACTTCCTTTAAATGGATAAGATTAAGCACTAGTAACATTGGGATGTACACCTAGAGATACTACTATCGAGAAATGCAGGGAAGCAACTACTTTAAAAAGCCGCTTAGTATTTACTTCAGGGACAGAGGGGCTGGTGATCTGGGTGTGGCACATGGTGGGGCTGGTGGGGCAGGTAGCAAAATTCTAAGTCCTGACTTAGGGGGCAGTTACAAGCATGTTTGCCTTAGGATAGATAACTCAGTAAGCTACACGTTTACTCTGCCTGATAGTCTGTATTTGTTTTCTCTTACGATAAAAAGGCTTTTTCTAAGAAGGAAAAGTTCTATCACTCGTGTAACCTGTTAAAAAAAAATTTATGACATTTAAAGTAATTACATTTAAAATAACTGTATTTATATCAAATAATTATATGAAGCCTTTCAAATAACTACGTGAAAGAAACATTCAAGACAATCACGTGAAAGTAAACATTTTTATAAAATAGTTACATTTCAAAGGCACATGAAAGTAAACTCTACTATGACACTCCAGCCAGCCACTGCGGCCTAAAGACGGTTCTGAGATCTATTTTCTGTGTTAAAAAGGAGACTATCAACTGCTGCTGAGCGTTACTGACAGGCTGGCACCCAGACGAGACTCTCTGCTGAACCTAATCAGGACCTGGAAGAGACCTGAGACTAAGTGATTCGGGACCCTCTTAGACTGGGCCAGGCACCACCTCAGCTCATCTCCTGTTTCACTTAAAACATCATCTCGTGGGCCATCTCCTGTCCTACCCTTCTGGAATCACTGGCTTAAAAACAGGTCTGGTGCACAAGGGTATGTCAAGACCTAGGAGGCGGTTGAAAAACAAAAACAGAGCTCTCTCAGATCACCAAGGGATTCATTTGACTCGTTCCAACCCTTTCCAAACATGCTTAAAAGGTTTGCTTTTCCATTATGAGCGCTTAAACAGGTGAGCAGCACTATGACCCGGTGAGAGCTGCTTGCCCTCGTCCCAGTAACCAGCGCGCACACTTTACCATCGACTTAACGGGGCGCCTTCAGAGCCCAGCAATAACCGGCCTCTGCCTTTATGCTAACATGTTCCGAGACTCCCAAGTGACAGGAGGCCTCCTATCTGAAAGTGTAAATTACAAAAATTAGTGAAAAGGCCCCTCCTCATCTGAACTCCCAGGCACGAAACAGGGCACCACAACCTGAACTCATCGACAAGACACCAATCTGACCTCAAAGCCCTTTAAGCGGAAAAAAAAAAAAAAGGAGGGGGTCTATCAGATGACATAATAGACTTGGAATATAAACTTGCAATGAGCAAAGAAAGCTCTGAAAATCAGATGGAACTCGGTCAGTTTTTAAGACTTTTATCTAAAATACATACATACAAGTGGCCTGCTTCTCCCATAAATGACTTGACAGCAAGTCTGGTTTTACTTCATCTTCTCCCCTCAAGTTTTGCTTCATTAGTTTGAAATGAAAGCAAACTCGAGCCAGGACAGTTTAATTTTTCTGGCAGTGCTGCTGCTCATGAGAGAGAAACAGTGGCGCCAACACATAAAGACGAAATTCAGGCAAGAGATGAAAGGGAACTTGTACAAGAACAAGGGAAGATGAGGGCTGAATTTCGGCTTTCACGGTCTGCATCTTAGTCTGTCTCCTGTGAGTCAGCTGAGCCCGCTTCCTCTCCTCTCTCTCCACCTCCGGCAGCTTCTGTGCCCTCGGCCCTCTTTGTTTTGTGAACCCTCACTTCCCAGTTTACCCACATTCCTCCCCTTATAGATCGTCTGCCTGCTCACGAGGCCTGTGAGTAAACAAATACTCAGACACAGAAACCTGCTAAAATGTCTGGAACAGGAATCCCAAGTTCCACCCACCACAGAGGTGCTTAGGGAGGCCCAGCCCACCGTTTCCACGACTTCCCTGGGCCCCCGCTATGAGAAACGGCACACCCTGGATGGTAAGGACCAGGGCCTGGGCTCACTTCCTGGGAAAATCCAGAGCAAAGGGGCCTTTTAATCAATACTACTCTGATCACGGGAATTCACGAATGTTTAAATGGAAAGCTCTCTTTTCGTACGAGCATTTGTTGAGACTAAGACTTTAAGAACAGAAGGAGAAAAACATTTACTCCTCCATTCTAGAAATGACTTAGAGTAAAAGAAACCCAGGAGCGTCTAAAGCCCAGCTGAGCTCCACTGATACTCGGGTACACGTGACAGAAGCTCAGGTCAGACCCAACACTTCAGATCCCGTCCTGGGTCTGTGCCGTTTTCCTCGAGATAAGGAGCCCTGGTCCACAGGCCTGTTCTATGGGCAAAGATATAGCAGGAGGATGGTGAGGTGTTAGGGAGAGAGGAGGGAAGCACTTGAAGTTTGGATTTTTCACCCAAGCCCTTTCCAATGAGCAGCAGAGAAATACGAGAGCCTGTTTAAACATTACTTACTGCCTGTTGGATATCAGACTTCACTTGCTCACTCAACATGCCTTCAAAGACAAAGGAGTCACCAAACTTCTCAGCCTAAAGGAAAGGAAGGAAATAAAAAACCAGAAAACGCTGTAGTAATGTGTTCACATGTGCCATTTTCTTTGCATACTATTAAAGTGGTTCTTCTGGTCCAAATGAACTCCACTTTGTTTTATGGCCTCCCAAAGGATTCAGAAATGACTTTAAAAGCATCTGGCCTCCTATTAAAACAAGTTAATGTCACTTACAGCAACCGTTTTCATTTAAGGCTCATTTAGCTGATAAGAATGCAGACTGGCAGAGATTAGCTTTAGAGAATGTGATTGCTCCTGTTGATGGAAACACATCTCCCCCAAGTATTACAAATGGCTTTGGGAAATAATAGTATTCTTTACATGTCAGATTACATAATCAACCTCTGTCCTTTGTTCTGCTCCTGGAATCGAGCTGAAAGAATCAATGGCACTGTTTGCTGATATTCTGATACATTCTAGCTCCACTAATGTGTCAGCTATGCTTATATATGTCCAGTGGAAAATTCAAGCACTAGACGGAAATCTGTATTTTAATTATTTGTATTTAATATTACTGTCTCATGTCCCCATCTACCTGGTGTTCTCTGCTGCATGTGATCCCCATCTGCAAACACCCACCCTAGTCCCTGGGTCTCCATGATTCTCCTCTTCTGGTTTTCCTCTGCCTTTTCTGACTCTTCTTACTCACCTCCTGAAATACACAGGCTCTTCTTCTGGCCCCTAAAACACTGCTGCTCCCCAGTGCTCTGCCCTGGCCCTCTGCTCTTCTTACTCTACAGCCCTGGCTCTCAGACTTTGTGCAGTTGAGATCAACTGGCCAGCTTGTTAAAACTATACATCACTGCTCCCCAACCCCAGAGGTTCTGATTCTGGAGGTCTGGGGTGAGGCCAAGGAACCTGCACTCATGAACAGCTAAGCTGATGATTCGAATATAGGTGGTCTGAGACCACACTGTGAGAAACACAGACCGGCTCTTGAAATCCCATCATTGTAACTACCGCCAGCACTTCAAATGACGCTCACAGCTCTGCCTCCAGTCCCCTCTCCTCACGAAATGGTATTAACGCTCTACTGGATCCCAGAATTTCTGTCTTTGTGAGCACCTCAAACTCCCTTCCCTGATTCAGGCTCATTGTCTTTTCTTCACCCCTGCTCTTCCTCCTGTGTTCCCCTTTGTGAGGACCCAGACCATTCCTTCACTCAACAACATGTATCCAGCACCCACCAGATGCCTGGCTTGGGGCTAAATGACAGAGATACAAGGTCAGTATTACATAGGCATGGTCTCTGTCCTTAGAGCACTTATATATGAGGGCACAAACAAAAAGATCAAGTCAAAGAAAGGAAGGAAGAAAATAATTACAACTTCACTTGACTTTGTAAGGTAGAGAGTACAGAGAAAAGTCTCCTTTCGATAGAGCAAACCAAGGAAGCCTCCCTGAGAAGGATACTTAAGCTGAGATGACTCGAGAATGAGAAGGAGCCAGCCATGCAAAAGGGGGACAGACAATGGGGACAGGAAATTCCAAGCAGGGGGAAAACATGGGCTGCTCCCCCAAGACGGGAAAGAGTGTCAAGTCTGCAAGGAACAGAAACAAGAACGGCAGGGCTAGGTTAGAACATGGTGAGCAAGGGAAGCGTGACGAAAATGAAGTTGGAGAAACAGGGAAAAACTGCCAAGTGCCATAAAAATATGAGGTATTTTATCCAAAGCAGGGTTTTCAACCCTTTCTATGCCTTGAACCCCTTTGGCAGTATGCTTAAGGACTGCCTTCTCAGAATGAAAGGGTTAAATGTATAAAATAAAATCAGTACTATTACAAAGAAAACCAGTCATATCAAAATATTAACAAAAGAAATTTGTTCTATAGTAATATATATATATATGTATATATATGCTCCTTTTCTCGTGTATTAAATAAGATATAGTGGCAGATCTCATAATTATCACTTCAACAGTGGGGACGAAGGCAAACAATATTTTAAGATCTCTGCAACAGCAATAATGTGACAAAAAACGTCTGTGATTTCTATTGGTGACAAAATCATAGCCACGGCTACCACAACTGTGGTGCGTCGTCTGCTTCCTAACTGAAGGAAATGCCCAATTTCAGTTGGAGGGTAACAGAAATTGAGGTGCAATCTTTCCCCATCCGTGTTCCTAGATGCCCTAAATTCTGCTTGGTCTACCTAATCCCAAGGGAGAGCCCTAGTCTCAGGGAAGCCTCTTGCCCTGAAAGCCGTCTTCTAACCTCAGCAGGCTACTGAGGAATCTGATCTTTGAGCATCTTTATGGGACAAAAAGAACAGCAACCTCTCTCCACAGAGAGGTACAAAGAGACAACCATTCTGTGTATTTTAGGAAATTCCAAAGAAATGCAGAGCCAAATTTGGATGTTGTTTGCTTTCAGTATTCATCTGATTTTTTTTCCTAATAAAAAGATGTTTTGGCCTGGGGGGGAAAAAAAGGACAGGCACTCTACAAACTGAAGGCAAGGGTAGAGTCCTTTGGTAAGAGAAAAACGTGGAAGACCTACATAAGGATATTTTAGACACTTACAGAAACTTCCATAAACTAGAAAGCCTCTCTATTTCTATCCCCATTTAGGACAAACATCCACTTTCAGAAGCTTGCTTTGTGATTCAGTGACCACAGGAGAAAGCCTGGAATTGCCAAAGGAAAGCCAATGAGTCGTCAGGCACTGGAATAAAACCACAAAAATGAAAAGCTGTACTTCAGCATCCATCATTTATGAATTACGTAATGCTTTTGGAACAACCAAACTGCAAATTTTTGAGAGGGAAAAATGGCCTTACTTTACATGTTATTCTCTCAAAAAGCCTGAGCGGCCACGGGCCCTCTTTGGCAGATTAAAGCACTCACACGCTATAGCATGATGGCTACAAAGACAGGTTCTGGGGTCACCCTGACCAGGCTTGAATCTCAGCTCCACCACTAACTAGCAGTGGGCCTCAGGCCAAATCACTTTGCTAATCCCCAGTCTGCGACCTAAAAAATAACCTGCCTCACTAGATTGCCATGATAACACAAATTAGACGAAATATATACAAAGCACTTAGCACAGTGTTGGGCACATAGTTAGGAAAAAAAAAGAAGTAGTCAACTGATGAAGTCCTTCCTCCCCATCCCAACCCCATTACCTCTGTCAAATAGCCAGTTGAGTTCACAAACTTCTCAAATTCAGCATTACTGACTTCATAGGCATCCATGTAAAAGGCATCAATAGCAACTCTCCTCGCAGGTGCTTCCCCATCCTGCTTTATCTGAGGATCGTCTGTGCCCATTGTGAACACTCCGGCAGGGATGGGGACCATCTGCAGTGAAAGGGGAAACACGGGAAGTCATGCCATCACAGCCCAAGGGAACCTGCGTGCAGTGCCGGCTGCCGCCACACAGTCAGCACCCAACAGCTGGTGGACCCCCACCACAAAAATCACCCTGACATGAGTGAAATCCCTCCGTACACCAATGAATGACTCGTCACAAAAAGAAGTGAAAATTCTTTAGGATACTCATTCCTTTAGACAAAACTATACATAATACACACCTATACATGCCATGGAAATAGACCCGGAGCAACAGTCATCACATTGCTAATGGCAGGAATGAAGAGGCAGGGAGATACTCCACTTCTTTATGCATTTGTGTATATTGTTTCCTTTATGTTCTTTTTTCTTTTTGAATTACTTTGTAAAGCAAATAAAAAAGTACCATATACAGTTTATCTTTAAAAACCTACTGAGTAAATGTGGGTTCCC